TAGCTAATAGCAATTCCCACCTTAGAGTTTACAAAGACTTATGGGTAGAAAAGCCACACTAAGTAATTTACTACACCGCAAGTTGGAAGCAAGCATTATATCCTCTGAAGGAGAAATTCTCAATCAGCACCATGAAATCTGATCTTTCTACTAGAGAAAAAGTCACACTTAGTAGTTGGCACATGCTCTAATTTTGTTCAAAATTATAGTAGTTAAGTATTACCTCGCTTGGGGAAGGAGGGGAAGATTTTAATGTGTTACTCCTCTGAACTTCTCAATAAGCACAATAAATTTTCAAATTGGGAGACAGGTTAATTTTCAAATTGGGAGGCAGGTTAATTTTCAAATTGGGAGGCAAGTTACTAGCAATAAGCTTATCAGTCTTAGGTCGATCCTTATCAGGGACGCCACAGAAATCAGGAGCATCACCTACTGCACATCTGATGGAGCCTCAAGTTAGGCAATGCATGGCCCATGTCATCAACAAGATGTGCCAAGAACTTCACATGACCATCATCCAAGATGTCCTGCCAAATTTCACCTTTAAAAACTTAAAACACACAACACACTTCAAGAAATCTCTTTAATTCCAAAAGACATGAATACAGAATAAACAGTATCACTGTCTACCATTTCTACTTGTACAGTAAAACAAACAACGTCCTATCATGAGCAATATAGCCTTTTGTGTGTCTTTTATAAATAGCTAAGCTGTTCCTTAGATTTAAGAGTCCTAATAGGATTAAAACATTTTCTTGAAACTACTATTTCATACCTATAAAGGGTTAAACCCATAGTTGAATTTGTAATGGCTTCCCTGTCTTACACCCAAGTTAATTAATGACCTGACTTCATTAAATTAAAGAAAAAAAAACTTCAGCAAATGTGAAAAAAGTTCCTGTTATTTGTCAATTCATGAAGACAAAGGAAAAAAAAGTGATGATGCGCTCTTCCATAGAAAAAGTAGATTTTGAGAATAGTCTGGGAGCATTTCACATGATATCGAATTGTTTAGTAACTTCACACTGCTCAGTAAGGGACAAGTTTCGGTGTGTTCCTCCTCTGAACTGCTCAGTAACCCCAAGTGATTTTCAAATTGGGAGGCAGATCACTGGCAATAAGCTCATCAAATTTAGATCGATCCTGAACAGGAACACTGTAGAAATCAAGAACATCACTGACTCTGCGCATCTGATAGAGCCTTGAGTTAGGCACTGCATGGCCCAAGTCATCAGCCAGATGTGCTAAGAGACTGAACTTCAGATGACCATCTTCCAAGGAGGTGGCCTGCCAGTTCCTAGGAACAGATGAACCAAAAACTTGTTTGACGTGAGATTCCAGACGACTCTGGAGATCATCAGGCGGTATGTATGTTCGGCTTCGCAAGGGTGGGCACACCAAGACAGGTTCTTTCTTCACCTCTTCCACGACCTCTGCCACCACTGGTTCTTGCTCTTTCCTAGAATTGTCAAAAACATGGCTGTGAATCTTTGGTCACTGCATCAACAAAGGTGACAAACACCAGACCCAATCTCGCCCACCAATCAAAATCAACAAATCACGTGCACACTTACTCTTTTTAGCTCCCTGCCCTCAGAATGCTTACAGTTTAAGTTGACACAGATAGAAAATAAAACCTAGTAATAAATTTCATGTGCTGTAAGAATTCTTAAGAATGGATGTAGAAGTCAATTTCCCTGTTTGGGATCCCCAGTCCTCTAGGATCTGACCCTAATCTACCTCTGTAACCTTATGTTACACTCATCTCCTACACACCCTCTAACCTCTACCCAAACTACATTGTTTCTGAAATACACTCCACATTCCTGACACATGTTGGCTGAAGCTACATCCTTCACTGTCTACTATCTTTCACCTCCACCTGCAGAAATCTTACTTATTCTTCCAAGTTCTAGGAGAAAACTATTCTGGAGAAAGCAGCTTTCCCTAGCCTCCCCAGTCAATTATAACTGTGAGCTCCTCTATCTGTTTTTATTATTCTGAAAATGTATCACATCCTACCTGAGTTTTATTTCTATTCCACTTCTTTTACTAGATCAGGGTTTCTCAAGCCCGCTGCTATTGACATTTTGAACTAAGTAATTCTTTATTGCAGGAGGCCGTCCTGGGCGTGCTAGGCCATTCAGTAGCATTCTTCGCCTCTATCTAGCAGATGCCAGCAGCACCCCATTACCCAGTCATGACAACTGAAAGTGTCTCCAGATATTGCCAAACGTCCCCTGAGGGGTGGGGATGGGGGGAGGCAAAATCATCCCCCAGTTAAGAATTACTGTCTCAGATTATAAGCTCCTGGATGCAAAGACCTGTTTTATTAATGGTGAGATCCTTTGAAAATACATTAAGAAACTATTTGAACACTATTTCTGAGTACGTGAATCAATGATGGGATCTTCCTGACATACTCCAAGTGCTCCATAATTCATGACCTACTACTTAGGGATGCCTGTTTCCCATGGAGTTGGCTTCTAACTGGATTTGGTCATTTCTACAGAAACTGGAAATGAAACTGCTGCGCTTGGACAACAGCATGGTTTTTAATGTTATTCCTCTTTGTCTGCTCATGGACTTTCTCCCAGCAATTAATCCCCATCTGCATCATTCCACCGTCAGTTTATCCCTCACTTCTACAATATTCCCATGGGCACACACAAAAAATAACCAAACTCACTGCCATAGAGTCAACTCTGACTCATAGCAACTCCCACTGGTTTCCAAAGCTGCCATTCTTTACAGAAGTAGACTGCCCCATCTTTCTTCCGTGGAGCAGCTGATGGGTTTGAACCTTTGGGTTAGCTGCCAAATGCCTCAACCATTGCACGCACACAGTCCTGTAACACGTCCCATCTTCAAAGAAAAAAATTCTCCCTAGACTCCATGTTTCCCTTCTTTCTAACAAAGCTTCTTAAATGAGTAGTCTACTTATGGTCTGCACTTCACCTCTTTTTTCCTCAAACCAATCCAGTCACATCTCTTCACACTCAGAATGCAGTTCATTCCTTTTATCACACTAATCTCTTGTTCCGTTGTCTTAATTTTGCACTTCCTGAAATAGTCTAAGAGCAGGCACACATTGTTCCCTGAGAAGCAGGTCTGAAACACTGTCTGGGTCAAGCAGGTACTACTTTCAAAGGACTCCACGCAGCGTACTGGGAAAAGCAGGTGGATAGGCAGACAACCTGGGTTCCAGACCCAGCTCTGCAAATAACTTGCTTTGGGACTCTGGGAAAAATACCTCCCTTCTATGGGCCTCGGTTTTCTCCTGTCGAAGAATACTTCGGCTTTGATTAGGAACTTGGCTTCTGCTGCTACAGCCTCCACGCTTAGAGAAACGCCGGTCCACAGAAGGCACTGAGTACACATTTGTTGCGTGTATGAATGAAACAGTGCATAAACGGAATAAAAACATTGCATTGCATTTCTGAATCTTGTCTGTGAAAATATCCAACCAGACCAAACCCACTGCCATCGAGTGGATCCTGATTCATAGCGACTCGTAAGAGAGACTAGAAGTGCCCCAGGGGGTTTCCAAGGCTGTCAATCTTTAAGGAAGAGAACTACCTCATCTTTCTCCCGCCCAGCGGCTGGTGGGTTGGAACCACCAACCTTTAGGTTAGCAGCCCGATATGCTTTAGCCACAGCGCAACCAGAGCTCCGTGACTATATCCCGCAAAAATAGTTTACTGAGCCCTTTCACGTTCATGATCCAAATTGATCATTCCAACAGTCATTTATTTCCTGACGGCTCACTATGTGCGTGGCACGTAATCAATACTGTTTGCTTAAAAAATCACTGATCTCCGTGTATGAGAAAATTCAGGCTGGGTCCTCCCCTCGGAGAACTGAAGCCTCTGAACTCGGACCCATAGCGCACTTTCCTGCTATTCGGTTCCATCCTAATAGCCCGACACCCCTCTCGAACTTGTCCCTTCATACTTGTTATTGTACACTCATGTTAATAGGTCCCGTGCTAGGAGCATGACGCCTCCTTTAGAAGCTGATTCTTCATGCTCGTCAGTTTCTCTCTTTACTTTCTAGGAAAGTGATCCACCGTCTAACCTTCGGCTTTACCTGGATCGAAACCAAAATTCTCGGCGTGGCGCCCCTGACACTATCCACGTGAGGCTCCTTCTGGTAACGCCGAACGAACACAGAGAAGCCATTTCCACGGAGAGCTACACGACGAAGATCAGCCCTCAGCCGGCAGTGACGCGCCAAGACCAGCCAATGGGGGTGTACGTTTAATGGCAGATGTCACTTTTTCCTGTTTAGGCTCACGGTTGTGGCAGCGCCCTTTGCACGCCGGGAAATGTAGTCCGACAGCGGCTAGACCGCGATGCTCTCTCGGAGCATGATGGGAGTTGTAGTTCGGGGGGCGTCCCAGGAAGATTCCGGGTGACGCCTTCTGATCCGGGGGCGGGCGGTCAAAGCACTCCTAGGCTGAAAGGAGGAGCAATTAGCAGCGGGGAGGCGGCTTTAGGAGCCTGGAAGGCTGCGCAACCTGATAGAGGAGGGGCGTGGGGACTGGGGGACGGTCAGGGAGGGTGTCTGATATGCTGCTGGGGTCGTGACCGGCCGGGGACCGAGGCAGGACCTGGCCGGACCCCGCCAGGAGGCCTCTTCTTGGTCGGGCCTAATATCCAGTGGTCAGGTAGGCCTCGCCAGAGGCTCCTTCCCGTGCAGCCGCCGCGGGCTCCTGTCCCGTTTCCCTGGCTAGGAGATGGCCGCCCCGAGCGCCCCGCCGGAGCCTAAGGTGAGTCGCTCCCCGGGTCGTTTGGTTTTCTCGCTGTTACCTGAGCTAGGCCGCGCCACAGGGCCGCCCCAAGGGGTTCCTTAGGGCCGGCACCTGCAGGGAGCTACTACCCCCTAGTGCTGCGGGGTCCAGTCGCGACTGACTCCTTTTATTTGTGGAGCGACTCGATGAATCGGCTGCAGAGAATTAGTTCTGCCCCGAGCTGGCCCCCACTTGTGAGTTCACCAGACGAGGCACGCATCTGTGCTGCCCGCCCCTGCCCTGTTTCCTGCGTCGGGACCGTGCAAGGTACATGCCTAGAGAACCTGGTGGAACTGAGCGGGGTCACTGGCTGTGCAAATAGAGAAATGGTGCGGAGGAACGAGGTGAAGGAGGCTGGGAGAGGCCCTGGGGCAGCTTACTAAAATTAAATATTAGGACATAATTATATTAAACCAGAAAAGCCTTATTCTTAGGCCCCTGGCTAACAGCGACAGGGATCCAGCCCACTTACCCTGTACTCTAAGGTGCCTGTCTGTTCCAGCCGGTTCTCAGAATTGGGCCCCGCTTGGAACTCAGTGACTGTGTTCTCCTAGCCTCCTGGTCCCTGATCAGTGATTACTTCTGCCACTTTGAGTGGTAGAATTGTCCTGAGACAACAGGAACTGACTGCGGAAATCATACTATTTCAGGGGTTGCTGACATTTGAGGATGTGGCTGTGTTTTTTACCCAGGAGGAGTGGGATTATCTGGACCCAGCTCAGAGAAGCCTATATAAAGATGTCATGATGGAGAATTATGGGAACCTGGTGTCACTGGGTAAGAATCTTGATTCTCTGATTGAAGTATCTAAAAGTCTACCAGAAAATCAGACCCTGAGAATACTTGGACCGCTACCAGTACCCAGACTGCTTTACTCCGAAGTTTTGATCCAAACCTCAGAGCCAGGTATTGTTCCCATGACTCTCATCCTTGGTGTCCTTGCAGTGACCAGAATACACACCTATTTGGCCTCCTGTCTTTGTAAATCATTTCCATATTGCTTTGTACTTTCCCTCTTAGCTCACCCTCCCACTGCTTTCCTCCCACCCCTTTCACTCTGCCTTCTGGAGCCCCTGTTCCTTTTCACATAAAGTTCCTTACCCCTCCTGGCCTTCACTGAATCCTGGCACTTTCTCAAGGACACGACTTCTCTGGCAGTCCTTCAAGTGGGGGCTGCTGCTTCTCCCCCACCCTTCCTCCTTCCCCATGCTTTTTTTATCTCAGGGAGAAGGGAGAAGTTGTTCTCCCTTTTCAGCATTCTTCCCGAAGCATTTGTTTTCCACCTTCAAACAACATTTCTCCTTTGAGTCCTCGGCAGTCTTGCTTTAACCACTGAATTCCTTTTCGCTGTCATCTGTCAGTTTCTCCCATCCCTCACACACAGACTTTGTCGTGTGTTTCACAGACCTCTCCCCTGTGCTAACGTACCCCATCCTTGCTGAGTTCAGCATATGGGTGTCCCAGCCAATACTTGAACTTCAGTATGTCTTGACCTTCTTGACTCCAAGGGTCCAGTATTTTTTTCACCAACTCACAACCATGGTCACACTCTCAATGTTGTCACGACAGACCAATCTTAAACCCCAGTGTCTATTATCTGACCGATTATTTAGGCGGTCGATGCTTGCTGACTGTAACTGAACAAGCATGACCAGAGCAAGCGTCTTCTCTGCTCTTGTGGGGCTTGCTCTAATTCATCTTTAGACTTCTCCTTCTTGCTTCCTACTAAACCTATATGTTCTTAATGGTGTTTCCTGTCCCTTGACTTCACGTTTTTCTCGTCACACGCTGTCAGTACCCTCCTGAGTGTACCTCCTCGTGTAATCCCTTGTCTCTTGTGTAAATATGTCATCAGCATGCTCTCTTGCCACGTTGCCATTATACTTTGCCTACTCTGCAAACTTCAAATCGTGTGTCAGTTATAGAATTGGCCTTTTCGTCTTCCTTACCTGAGTTGCTGAACACAGGAGGAGAAACTTCACAGCCCGAAGGCTTGGTGGCCCCTATCTTGACTTTTTTCCTTCGAGTCTCCGCTGGGTCTTCACAACTCAGCAGCTCGTCATCCTTGATTTGCTCATCCCCATGTTCCTTTCAGTGACTACGGTTTTCCAGAAACTTAGGTTTTCCTTGGGTCTGTCACTCAGCAGAGGGCCTCACCTTCTGTTTCAGAGAGAACATAGAGGCCACTGAACTCATAGAGGCTCAATCTCTCTGCATTTCATCTGCAGACTGAAAGCAGCTTCCCTGTCTTCACTTCACGGAAACTTACCATCAGTCATTTTTTTCCTTGCAGTATCAGTCTCTCCTTTTTCTCTCCTGGTAACTTTTTATAGATGATAGGTATGTTCTTGGCTCTTCCAGTTGGAGAAGAAGGGGCGTGGGGGAGCTCCTTTGAGCCAAGGTCTGCCCCTTGCTACTACCTGTAACTTGCTACTTAATCTTCCCAGCCAAGATTTCGTCAGAGTAGAACAATTAATTTGTGTTCTGTGCTTTGTTATTTCCCATTAACTCTAAGCCCATTTGTCTAGCCACTTCCACTCCCCATAAATTGTTGTAATACTGCTCTGTAATGATTTAATTGTCAAATGCCATAGACTTTTTTAGGAGCTCTGGTGGCGCAGTGCCTAAGGCATCTGACTGCTAACCAGAAGGCTGGCGGTTCAAACCCACCAACCGCTCCTCAGAAGGAAGGTTGGGCAATCTACTTCTGTAGTGATACTTCCTCGGAAACCCAAGGAAGGGTTGCTATGAGTCAGATCCAGCTCGATTGCAGTGAGTTTGGTTTGGTTTGATTTATAGACTCTTTTTGACCTTATTTTATTTCAACTCTCTATGGATATTTGAAACTCTTTATTGCTTTCCTCTATTGGTTTGCATCCTCACACTTCCTCTCAACCCGTGCGCTTGCCTTGGGGGACCTTATCTATACTGACATCATCAGCAACCACTCTGAGGATAAATCCAAAATCTTTATTTCCAGCTGAGATCTGTAATTAGGAGCCTGACTACCTAGGTTCAAATCCTGGTTCATCTGCTTACTAGTCTTGTGACCATGGGTGAATTATTTAGCTTTTCTATACCTCAATTTCTTTTTTAAAAAACGTAAATAATAATAACAGCACTTACCTCTTCTGGTTATTGTGACCTTTAACTGAGTTAATACATGTAAGGTGCTTAGAACGCTGACTGGCATGTAACAAGTATGATACAGGTGTTGATAATTTTCATCACCATTATCGTCTCTGTTGAGGTCCAAATTCCTAGTCAACTCTGTTTGAAGACCATGTAAGTAATTCATACCTGGCAAGTCTCAAATAATCCGTTAGATCTCAAGGGCCTCCCTTTCATAGTCAAGCACACCTTTCTTTGTATTACTTTGTGTACACTTCATTGTTGAACTTATCATACAATACTCGAATCATTCTTTAAGAGTTATTTCTCTAACCAGACTGATCTCCACTGAGAACAGTAACTTTTTTTTTTTCATATATATGATATCCCACTCTTAGCATAGAGCCAATGTACATTAATATACTTCTAAAATATTTCTGTGACTGAATGAGTATAATTAATTGAAAACCCAATACTTCTTTACTGGATTGTTGCATTAGCCTCTAAACTAGTCCCTTGCCACCAGTCTGCATTCTTGTAATATATTCTTTCTATTGCCACCAAAGCGACTTTAAGTTAACTGCATAAAACTGTTGATGGCTCCTGTTGGTGTACAAGATAAAAACCTTAATTTTTCATCCTGTCATGTTAAAGACAAAACCCACTTCTGACTCACGGTGACCCCATGTGTTGGAGGGTGGTCCTGAACTCTGTAGGGTTTTCTCGGCTGGAATCTTTGCAGGAGCAGAGGACCAGGTCTCTCTTTGTGGTGCCGCTATGTGGCTTTGAACTGCCAGCTTTTCTGTCAGTGTTGTTCTTGTTAGGTGCCGTCAAGTTGGCTCCAACACATAGCAACCCTGTGTACAACGTAACGGAACGCTGCCCAGGCCTGTGCCGTCCTCACAACCCTTGCTCTGCTGGAGCCCGTCGTTGCAGCCACTGTGTCAGTCCATCTTAATGAGGGTCTTCCCCTTTTTCGCTGACCCTTCACTTTACCAAACATGATATCCTTCTTCAGGGAATGGTCCCTTCTGACAACATGACCAAAATAGGTGAGACGAAGTCTGGCCATTCTCACTACCAAGGAGTATTCCAGCCGCACTTTTTCTGGGACAAATATGTTAGTTCTTATGGCTGTCCGTGGTACTTTCAGTATTCTTCGCCAATACCACAACTCAAAAACATCAGCTCTCCTTCGATCTTGACTTACTAATTGTCCAGCGTTCACATGCAGTGATTGAAAATACTGTGGCTTATGTCAGGCGCACCTTAGTCTTCAAAGAGACACCTTTGCTGCTTAACACTTTAAAGAGGTCTTCAGCACATTTGCCCAGTGCAGTACAACGTCTGATTTCTTGACTGCTGCGTCTGTGGGTGTTGATTGTAAATCCGAGTAAAATGAAATCCTTGACAACTTCAGTCTTACCTCTGTTTATCATAATGTTCTTATCGGTCCCCTTGTGAGGACTTTTGTTTTCTTTATGTTAAGGTGTAATCCATACTGAAGACGGTCTTTGATCTTCATGAGTAAGTAGTGCTTCAAGTCGTCTTCACTTTCAGCAAGTAAGGTTGTGTCATCTGCTTATCTCAGGTTGTTAATGAGTCTTCCTCCAATCCTGATGCTATATTTTCCTTCACATAGTCTAGCTTTCAAATTATGTGCTCAGCATACACTCATACTTATTCAATGAATGAGTATGGCGAAAAGAAACAACACTGACACACACCCTTCCTGACTTTAAACCATGCAGTGTCCCCTTGTTCTGTTCGAACTACAGCCTCTTGGTCTATGTACAGGTTCCTCATAAGCACAATTAAATACTCTGGAATTCCCATTCTTTGCAGTGTTTTCCATAATTTGTTATGATCCACACAGTCGAATGCTTTTGCATAGTCAACAAAACACAAGTAAATATCTTTCTGGTATTCTTTGCTTTCAGCCAAGATCCGTCTGACATCTACAATGATATCCCTCATTCTGCTTTCTCTTCTGAATCCAACTTGTATTCTTGGAAATCCCCTGTCAATAAATATACTGCTGCAATTGTTTTTGAATTATCTTCAGTAAAATTTTACTTGCATGTGATGTTAATGATATTACTCATTGATTTCCAGATTTCATAAATGAGTAAGCACCTCTAGCACTGCATCCATTTGGCCAGTCTTACTTTGTTGTTGTTGTTAGGTGCCATTGAGTCAGCTCTGACTCACAGCGACCCTATGTCATACCACCAAACAAAACACCAAGCTCACTGCCATCGAGTCGATTCCAACTCATAGTGATGGCCTTTGGTTTCCAAGGTGGTAAAACTTTACGGAAGCACATTGTCCTTGCTTAGCTTTCTAGCCTTGCCTGTCGTTTCCTACATACCACTTCATTTTCCAGCTGTGTTCACTGCTGATTTTTCTGTCTTGATATGGTATGATGTCTCTGAGTCACTGCCAGCTGTATCTACATGTATGGAATCCTGGTTGATATCAAGTACCCAGCCTTGCCTGCTCCTAGACTACAACATGTGAGTACTGTATGAACAACAGTATGGCAGTGAGGCTATCTGAGGTCTTGTACTTTCAGGCTCTCTTTTTTTCTTTTAACTGAAATCCAGTTTTCTGTCATTCATCATTTCTAGCTCCCACAACCCTTTGGTCCTCTATAGGCCTCATTT